CCCAATTTTGTAAATATCAACTCTGACCCTCTATAGCGCAGCAAGATAATTGTCTCTGAAAATTTTAACCTTTTAAAAGTATGAATTCCTTCTTTAAAAGACTTACGGCCATATCACGTTGAAATATCAGTTCTCGTATGATCACCGAAGTTAAGCAACGTCGAGCCTTGTCAGTAGCTAGATGAGAATAACAGGTGCTGTAAGATTTGATGTGCGGGTGGTGTTGTGGATAACGGCTCGATACTGGAAAACGGCCAAGTGACTTCAAATTACAATCGGGTTCGTAATATTTATTTACGCGCAAATACTTCTTTTCACTCCAACTATGAGTTAATTAGTAGGACTCGCATTTTAAATAACCTCCAAAAGGTTGATAAACCGTAAAAAACAAATCAATCAATCCTTCTTAAAAATAAAAGGAAACTCTTTGCATTAAACATATTATTTTGCACCGAGGTGAATATTTTTTCACTGATCTGAACGTCATTCCTATTTTATTTCTACATATTTCATATCGCATGAGATATCGTCAACAAAACTCGATGTTACTATAGCGTGAGGTCTACCCCCCCCCCCCGGTTCGTCTATAGCGTGAGGTCTGCCTCAATAAAGCGTGAGGTCTACCTCCCGTTTCGTCTATAGCGTGAGCTCTACCTCAATATAGCGTGAGGTCTACCTCCCGTTTTGTCTATAGCGTGAGGTCTGCCTCAATATAGCGTGAGGTCTGCCTCAATATAGCGTGAGGTCTACCGCAGCATCGAACTATAATTTAATATTCTATGTGTATACATATTTATCTAAACCTAATATTATCATTTATATATCTATATACTATTTAAATTTATATAAAAAAAAATAAACACGCTATCAAATACAATACATACATTCATTTTAGCGATAAACACTTCCTATATCTTCTAGGAATGACACGAACAGATCATTGGAATTTTTTCTCATCATCTTCCAGCAAAAATGATCAAAATGTAACTGGAACAGCTGACTACCAACACCTCGCATTTTCTTGAGAATCAACGTTTTAGCATCCAGTCAATCAGCTAGTTATATGCCATGTGTGATACACGCTTAGGCGATCATGTATCTTTCGATACATGACTGACGAGGCAGATTTTTCTCGCACTATGTTTCTATTTCTTTCTGCGACTACTGAACCTGATCTGTCCTGCTATTTACCCATAGCTAGGGGGAGAAGAAGAGGATTCCTACCTTTCCCAAGGATATTAGCACGTAAGTGAATGTAATGGATTTGATTGTAATTCGAACTCGGCTCTCCGATTCCTCAACCCGATCTGCTATCCATTACTCCACCGTGCAGCATCCAACCACGATCGCTCAATTGCCAGAGTGTGTGCTCCTGTCGCTGGATCCACATAATGTCGCTGCCTCATTTGCTTCTTTTTTTATGCATAGGTCACGTGTTTAGAAAATGTGAGACAGATATAAATATCCATGTAAGATCCTCACCTGACCTGATCCATGACCTCACCTGACCTGATCCATGACCTCACCTGACCTGATGGCCACATGAGGGGAGGGGCACGGTAGACTTCAGCGCTGCACCTGGGTAGACAACATATTGAAATAGATCTCACGCTATAGTAACACCCAAAACTCTTAGTGTCTTGTCTAAAAATATTAATTAAAAATTTTAAATATGAATTCTTACGATTTTTTTTTACTTTCGGGACAAACATAAGAGTCCAAATTTGCGTCTTGCAAAGAAAAAGTAAGACTTTTAATCAATTAAAGCTGAATTAAACAAATTCAACTGTTATCTTTAATCGACAAAAATGGCCACTGTCCGATTGACAGTAAACTCCATCTTGTAGACAAAGAAAAATAAAAATCTAATCGAAATAAAAATAATCATAACATCGAGGCAATTTTTTAGGAAATAGTTACTTTGATCTTTATTCGGTTTAAGTACATTAATAACATTCCTAAATTTTATTTAAAAACATGAAAAAATGTATTTCTATAACACAGGTGGTTCGCACCAGTAAGTACCAGTCGAAGGTCAATTTGGGTGTGTGGTGATATTTATTAACGGTTGACGACAGCCACTCTGAATTCGTTTTGACACTAAGGTGAAAATGATTATTATGATATTAAAAGAAATAAAATTTATACTATGAGAGAATTTGAAAAAGAAACTATTTTATTCTCAAAATAAAAAAATATCTCATAGTTTTCAAAGTATTGGAGCAATCAGAAAGATGATCAAGTGGTCTACTTAATTCAATAATGGGATCGCTGTGTTTGTTCACTGGCGATCTATGTTCAAACTCAAATGACACTTTATTCCTACAGTGTGGCCTAAGAAAAGTTTTTAGCCAGGAGAAATAAAGTAGATCCAATTTCAAAATTTAATTACGTAATCCCAACTTAACATAAATAAACAGTATTTGGAACTAGTATATAGTAGGTGATTTTGGTTGCATGCTCTCGAAGTTTTTGATCAAGGTGCTCCCAAACATGCTCTACTGGATTCATGCTACCCACGTCAATGACTTGATACCTTGTGATTCCTTCCAGACCTTTCTTACTTTGCTCGTATGATATGGTGCTCCAGCTTCTTGAAAAGGGTAGACATTCTTGTCAATCTGGTTTCAAATAGTGGGAGTAGTCCTTTCTCTAATATTTGCCAGTATTTTGGACCATTCAAGCGCTCATCAACAAGAATCAGCTCAGATTTCCCCCCAAACCAGACAGCACCCCACAACATTATTCCAATCCCTCCATGTTTCACGGTCGCCTGCAGACATTCAGTGTTTCAAGTCTCATTCTGATTTCTCCAAACATAAACCTGTCTAGAATCCGAATATTGGCAGAATTTACTTTCATCTGTCCAAATTACAGACTGCCAAAATTCATAATGTTTGCTCTCGAATTCACTTTCCCAGTCCATACGCCCGTTCCTGTTAACCTCTGAAATCAAGGGCTTCTTTCTTGCAACTTTTCTTTGATAGCCTATCTCTTTCAGAGTCTTTCTCATCGCATATGGCGACATTTCCATGCTGTTGGCAACATCTTTGACACCCTGACGACTCTTTCTGATGACTTCCCTTTTCAGTAGCCTTTTCGTTCGCTCACACACGGTGCTTGGTCTTCCTGAACGTTGTTCCACACATCAATGGCCTTCTTCATTAAATTTCTTGACAATATTATTAACCGTTTGATGATTAACCTGGAAAAACCTAGCAATTTCTCTATTTGACTTGCTACACTGATGCCATCCTATTATTTGCCATCGTTGAAATTCACCAATTCCTTACTTCCACGAACTTTCATTGCAAAATATAAGTCAACTATCGTTCATAGATGAGAGTAGCTTGTTACTAACACACTATTGTCTGAAGAAGAGACGTTATTACACAAGCCAAAATTGCTGTAATCAAGGGTGTCTAAAAACTTATAGCCCACTAACATGGGAAATTTGTAGTTTAAAAGCAATAATTCGACCTTACTAACCAGACGCTTCCTACGTAGCTAAATAGGATAGCACGTCAGCCTATATGACGGTTCCGTGTAGGATACAGGCTCGATTCCTGTCGGAGGAGACATTTTTTCTATGAAATTTCTTTGATATTCAGACCGGTAAATGATATTAATACTGTTTATTATAAGCGGAGAATTTACTTAAATATTTGTATCTATAAAAATAACGTATAAATATATTAAAATAATTGTCGGACTTTGTCAATTTCATAATATATCTGTCAAATAGTTTTAATTTGTTTTTCATCAACTGGGCAGACACATGATGCAAATTGAAAGAAAAGATTTTGGATTGTTAATAGCGTATTTTATTTAAATAAACAAGTGAATTCATAAATGACAGTCTTGTATTTTTGTAAAATTATAACAACTATTTGTTGTGAAAACACCTTTTTTCTTCTTTTCTTTCTAAGAATTTAGACCTATTTTCCGTTACAAATGTGTAGTGCCCATTTGAATTTAGATTTAAAAATTAAATCAATTGAAATAGTTTTCTGATGAAGGGAACAGAAGTCCTGAAACATGTATCAACATTCAATAAAAATATTTGCATTTGCAGCTGTGTGTAAATCAACATTGCCCCTTAAGTCTAGGTTACTCATCCATTGTTCAAACTGCTCGATATACAATTCAATTCGTTTATGTGTGAATTAAATCCTCAATTCTTCCCACGGGTTTTTTGGTATTAACCCTTCTTGGTTCAATGTCTCTCAGCACATAATACTTTCTTATGTTTTAACAAAACTTTCTTTCGTTTTACCGCCGGAATGATAAATAGTATCACAATAACTCCTCATCCCAGAAATTCAGTAGGAAACAGTTTAGTTTTTGTCTTCAATTTTATCGTACTGATCATATGGTTCAGTATCTTTTTTTTATTTCTCTCTAAGACTGTGTGGATTTTATTTTAGTAATTAAAATTGAATTTTTTAATCCATAAAGAATGACGATAATGCTTATCTCGGCACTGGCTTTGTTTTGTTACTTTTTTATTTTGTTTTTCTCTCTATGTAACGCATTCTTGCATCATGTTCGTGTTTTACCAAAGAACATCACTGCAAATCAAGAGGCGTGTTTGTGCCGTGCGGCAGTGAATCTGTTACGAGCTGCGAATTTTTGGTTAACATTGTGTCATACCTGAACGTACCTATTCTATTATTAACAGACTCTCCCAGACATAATAAGTAGTAGTAGTAGTAGAGGTCACCAGTTGAGCTCAGTGGTGTTGAGTGAGTCAGCCGATGTCGGACATTGAAGTATCAACCATCACAACTAGATTGCTGCGTCATTAACTCTTATTTCAAGTTTCTAACGTTTTGTACGTCGAACCTAATTTAGGACGACTTATTGAAATACAAGCCTCCACTGTGAAAACTACTCTACAACCCATTGGAACCGAACTCAAAGGTTTACAACTGACATCAAGAAATGACTGACAACGTGAACCAACTGTGACGACGTTTAAAAGAGAGACTAAGAGACTTACAGCCATATCACATTGAAACACTCGTACGATCACCAAAGTTAAGCAAAGTCGAGCCTGGTCAGTACCTAGATGGGTGCCCGCTTGGGAATACCAGGTAGTGTAAGCTTTGATGTTAGGGTGGTTTAATGGATAATGGCTAGGAATTGTAAATCAGAGAGCCGAGATCCAATTTCAATCGGGAATCCAGTCGAGTCACTTACGCACAAATAACCTTGAGAAAGTTATGAATCCACCTCTTCTCCCCCAGTTATGGGTTAATTAGTAAGACTTGTATCAGTAAATCATTATTAACAAAAACAACTTTTTAAGATCTAAAAATATTTTCTGGCTTTAAATAACCTGTAAAGGTTGAAAAGCCGTAACAAAACAAACCAGTCAATCAATCAGAGACTAAAGTTGCCAACCATCCGGCATTTTGATACCGAAGAATGTATCTCGCATCATGAGTATTTTGAGAATCTATAATTCTTTCTTTTATTTTTTTAATTAGGCGTAAATTTTTGGTTTTTGTTTTGAAGATGCATAATGTAAAATAAAATTTTAAAATAAACACGAAAAACTGGGATACGTGCGAAATTTTTCTTACCTGTCTGCTTCTCACACCCCACACCTCGTTCTCTCCGCCTCCCTTCACAATTCCTATATCTCAAAAATACCAAACTGATTTAATTCAACTTTTGTAGGTCTGTGAACCTCTGGTTGAGAACCTGTCCGCAAAAGACACTATGGTTGGGAACTTACCCACAAGGTCCGCGGCCGCCTAGTTGGGACCACCTACGTCCTGAATTTTCATTTCAGAGAGTCGGTATGTCGACCAAAGAAGCCGGTCGTTAGTGGGCACAAAAATTTATGCAATTTTGAAAATATGCGCCATCTTGGTTGGTTGCGGGATTAGTTTTTTTCTTGAAAGGGATGGCGAGAGAGAACACATGGGAATGGTCGATATTGGTGAACACATTCTTCAAGAAATATATTGGAATATTTTTGTAATTCTTGTTTTTTTGTTTTTTTTACTCTTTAGTTTCATTGTGTGATGAACTTCTAATTTACCTATTATTTTTTTTTTTTTTACTTTGTTGTATGGCATTTCAAGTACTTTCTGAATTCATTATTTGATTCAACCAAACCTCCCAGTGTTTCAAACTCTGTCTTGTTACATGCGTTGGTGGTAGCTGAGGAATAAAAAAAACCTTGACGTCATAACTTCCTCTCTATTGCTGGATGACCCCGTAAAGTGTCATCATTTTCACAATCCCAGATAGTATAAAAATATTGAAACGTTAAATTTAGGCAACTCCATAAACTTTTGAAAATTTTGAAGATTAATTTTATTGTAATTATGTATTCCGTTTTGATTTTAAAGAGAGAATATAAACTACCAAAGTCAACTTACGTATTACGTAACGAGGCGACTTTTAATGGACTACGTCGTGGAAGTAAGTATCGCACTAAATCCATGAATGTTCTTTTTATGGTGCCTCGAATTCTCATGGTCGTTTATGTGACGTATCCTTGCATGACGTGGGCGATTATGACTCTCTATGACTCTATGACGTCATTTCTTTTGTAATTGTAAAGATTGTCCGCTCACTATCTCACCCAATCTCTGTTCTGCCATCCATTTATACAACCACGTTTCGTAGGTGTTAAACTATTTTATTTTATTTTTTTCTTTATTTATTTAAAAGAATCTCAGATTTTACTAAAATGTTTAAAATGGATTTTATATTAAATATTATCGGTGAATTTTCATAACTTCTTGACAATGACATGGACTCGTGTCCCAATGTTTTCTCCACAGTCTTGAATTTAGAACAGCCCTCCTCTTAGGCTGTCTTCGACCTAAGTCTGCTCTGTTATTTAACCTATAGCTGAGGGGAGAATAGATGAATTCATGTCTTTCCCAATGGAAATAATTCTAACTGAATATCACAGACTCGGTCAATATTTGAACTCGTCTCGTCTATTCCATTTTCCATGCCAATAGCCATTACGCTACCCGCATTTACCGTGTTGGGCTACCATTGCAAAAGCAATTGCAGCACTATGCGGTATACGAGCTTGTAGAAAATAAAACAGAGATCTACTCGGAGTGAGCTGATCTAAAAACCAACAGATACCAACGGCTCTAACATATAATAATCCACTAAGCGTGGCACAAAACAGGATGTATGGAGCACCAAGTCAAGAGCAAACTCACTGCTCAGTCATATTTGATTTAGCGAGACAGGCTTGCTAACCATTACACCACGTTCAAGTGCCCACAGCTCTAACACCCCACATACATATTGTTGTGGCCTTGTTAGAGCCAGAAATAAAGACACAAAGAGAAGAATTGATTCAAACAAATATATTAACAGAAACAGTAATAAAAACATATACAAACGAGAGTGTTACAGCAAGAATGTTCGGTCGGACTGTCAGAGCTGACTGCTGGAAACTTGGCTTTCTAAAAGGCAGTACCTGCTCCTATTTATAGCTGGATATGCGTGCGTGGATAAATTACCATAACATATATATATATATATATATATATATATATATATATATATATATATATATATGTATATATATGTATGACACTTTTTGGTCACGGGTCGTCAGATCTGCAGATCTGACATGCTAGTTTATTTTATTGCCGTTTTATCTTCAAAAATACTAACGCATTTTTCTTACACGCAGTTTTTTTTTTTCTGATTCAAAACTGATAAAGCTGAATCCAACGCACGTCACGTTCGGCGAAATGCGTCGTCTTTTCCACTTTATCTCATCTCCTCTTTTGTTTCGGATATTATTATACATCCTAAACTACGCATATATATATATATATATATATATATATATATATATATATATATGTGTGTGTGTGTGTGTGTGTGTGTGTGTGTGCATGCATGATAAAAAATATAGTTTTACGGTATGTTATATTTATTAGTTAAAGTGCTCAATATCAGGGATAGTGTGTATATAAATATAAAAATGGACATTGGGATCAACACCCGGCGTCGTTAGTCTGTTTCACGCTTAAACACAATCGTCGTAACCTGAAACAGACTGTTGGCTCCTGGTGCTGACCTCAATGCCCATTTATAAATATATATATACTATCTCACACCTCTAGCACGACACAATCTTTGGGTGCAGAGTTCAGAATGACTGTTTCTGGCTATCATGACGCTGATATGGTGATACTCAATGTTACAGATATTTAATACTGAACCTTAGAAATGTTGAAGTGGATAAAAAGAAGTATGAAGAAAGAAAGGAGAAAATATAATTATAAGTATGAAAATTAAATTTTAAACTATGACAAAATTGAAAAAAAAAAATGAAAATATAATATATATATATATATATATATATATATATATATATATATATATATATATATATACCCAAGTGTAGGATTGGTATAGACGGAATAAAATTCCAACAACCAAAAACACTATTCTTAAAAGAGTGCTCAATACTGAGTAGACCAAATATTATTTATTTAAAAATTATAACATAAATATCATTACAAAAATAGCCATTTTGTTTAAACATTTCTGGTGTCTTATCAAGTGATGGTGTTGAATTCAACACCATCACTTGAGAAGACACCAGAAAATGTTATAATTTTTGAATATATATATATATAATATATATATATATATATATATATATATATATATATATATATATATATATATATGAATAATACCAAATTGTAATTGGTAGGGGTTATTTATAGAGGGCTTTTCAGTCTATATGAGAGCTCAATGTATGATACAGAAGAACTTCTAAAATAATTAGGAAAAAAACCTTAAAAATCCATAATCAGTAACAAATTATTTCGATCAATACTCATCGAAATAATTTTATTACTATGGATTTTTAAGTTTTTTTCTAATTATATATATATATATATATATATATATATATATATATATATATATATATATATACAGAAAGTATCCTATATGCAACAATTTATCAAATGCATGAGTCATACATAGAAATAGATTCAACCACATCTTCGATCTAAAAAAAATGCCACGCCAATTAAAAGAGAAAGTAATTTAAAAGGAAAATTCTAGAGAGTTCCGCTATCGAAAGGTTGCCGCAGTGCGATGGTTCACGTTCTTCACTGGTTTCTCTGCTTCTGTAGCCTTGTGCCATATTCATTTGGACTTAGTAAGTAACTATTTAGACCTACCTGGTTGTTGAGACAGTTGCTTATTTCCGTTCGCCGCAAGTTGCAAGTAAATGGACACGAGAGATATGATGATTCTCTCTATCTCTCTCTCTCTCTCTCTCTCACACACACACACACACACACACACACACAAACAAACACACACACACAAACACACACAAACACAGACGCACTCAACATGGTTTGGATAGACGAAGTAATTCTTGATAAATCCACATAAGAACATGCAAACAAACCAGCTGATTTGATATATAGTCATCCTGATATATATATATATATATATATATATATATATATATATATATATATATATTCTTATTGATTTTTTTTTTTTACAAAACAGTACTCAATGTAAATTTAAAGAACATAAATATTATGAATTAACTGATTTGAAATATGGTTTCTTCGCTATACAGTAATTATCATGTTTCAAAAACCGAAGCTAAAAACTTCAAATTTAAAACTTCAAGTTTTTTATTAATCTTTAAGCGAATTTTAACTTATAACTTATTTTTAAATTTACTGAGTTTTAAACGCACATACAATTCATAATTTTTTGTTTCCAAGGATACAGAGAAATCTATTTATTTATTCCAAAATTCGCTTGAAGATGAAACAGAGCTAATGCTTTTAATTTAATTATATAATTAAATTTGAAGTTTTTAGCTTCGGTTTTTGAAACATGGTAATTTCTGTGTAGCGAAGAAACCATATTTTAAATCAATTAATCTATAATAGTCATCCTGATGTAAATCCTCATGTATTTCAACTTTAACTTTCGGGTGAATCACCTCAGCGCTGGAGGAAAACGATGGACATGTCAGCTTATTCCTTGTCGTCTGAGACTAGCTGGCGAACTACTGCTCAACGATGCATCTTCAGAATTCTTAATAAGCTTTCTTCGT